CTCCCTTCCTTTCTCTTTCTTCCTTCCTCCCTTGTTTCCTCCCTCCCTTTCTTTCTTCTTTCTTTCTACAATAAACCCATTTCAAATTCTAAAACACTGAACTGGAAAGCAGCAGTAGCTATGAAGGGGAAAAGTGAGCTGGGTCTACACCCACCTCCTGCCCTGGGCCCCAGTTTCCCCACTTGACTAGGGCAGTGTCCCCACAAGACGCATGTGAGCCTCCCCTGTCCCCTTCTGGCCTAGGGCTGAGAAAGCCCTCTGAGAGCCATATCTATGAGGGTCATTGGCAACAATCACCATAGGTGAAGCAGTTCCTTTAACCAATTAATGGCCCCATCAGGGGGAGCAGTGCTACTGTCATTTCAGTGCTCTTCAGAATGCACAAGGAACCTACAGGCTCTCTCCACAAACCTCAAACCCAGAGGGAGGTGGCATGAACAAGCCCAGCTCAACTCTTGCTTCGGCTGCTCTCTATCTGGGTGAACTTGGGCAGATGCTCCAAGGCACATTACTCCATCCGCAGTACCCTCATCTGACAAGTGAGGTAACAACCTGTATCTCCCAGGTGGTCCTGAGGGTACAGTTCACTTTATCCCACACAGAGGGACATGCACCTGTACCATGTGCTGTGCTGTGAACACAGAGGGGCTCAAGCAATCCCAGCACCCAGGAAGCTTGGTGTAAGGGCACATGCATGTGTGTGTGTGTGTGTGTGGTGTGTGTGCTTATGGCGTCTGCAGCTATACAGGCAATACCTCTGCCCCCCAGGGTTGGATGAGGACTAATGAAGGGTGTCTGTGTCTCTCTTCCCAACCTTCCGACTACCTTCCCCTGCCCCATCAGAGACACAGCCTGGGGAGATGCTGCCTGAGCAAGAGGGCACCAGCCACAGCACCGGCCCATCACTTAAGGACCCTGGAGTCCTCTGTGGGGCAGGGTAGGGGGAGTTGCTAATTAATGACCTAGCACTCTCTGGCTGGAACAGAAACAGCTCTCTGGTTTCCTATTGGGCAGAAGCACGGTGAGTCAGGGCACTGCGGGTGATGGAGGGGTGGTGGCGGCCATGGGCTCCCGGGTGTGCTGGGCCCTGGACAGGCCCCTGGAGGGAGAGAGCGGCCACCTTTCAGAGTGGGGTGGGGAGACGTGTCAGAGTGAAGCCAGGGCTGCTTATGAATTTTGAGAATGTGTGTCATGCCCAAACATTTACATATTTAATAGGGAGCATTTCGTTGCAAATTAAGATTTCTCCTTTATATCACAATTAGTATATTTTTAAAGATGGTGTGTGTGGGCAGGGGTCACATTCTCTGTGAATTCTGGGTCAGGAGACTCAAGGAGGAGCTCTGAAGCGTTTGTTGGGAAAGGGGGGATTGAGATGCCTTTCAGCGTGGTGGCCCTGGAACGGACACATGCTAAAGGGGGGGACTCCCCTTCCCTGTCCAGAGGGCCCGCTGCAGGTTGGGGGTCCGACCTCCTGGAAGTCTCTCAGTCGTGTCGGTGCGGGTGGCTCTGCGCAGGTGGTGAGCGGTCTGGCACGGGGACAGTCTCCAGGGGCAGGGACACCACAACGAAGTGGGACTTGGGGAGCAAGATGTGTTTCGCCCCCTGCTTCAGAAGCCAGGGCGCCTCTGCCGTCCCTCCGAGAGGTCGCGGCACAGGGAGGCCGTCTGCTGAGGGCACCTTCCCGGGCTGTGCCAGAGCTCAGGCGGCGCCAGACTCACTTTTCTGGAAGTGCAGAGATGGGGTAGGAAAACGGTTCGTGGGGACTGCGCTGCCTTCTGGGCTCTGCCTTCCAGGGCCTGTTTCAGAGCGATGGACCGACGTCTGTGTCACCACAGCCCCTGCCCGGGGGGACAGGGAGTCCCTGGGGTCCCCATGGGGCCCGTTCACGGGCCGGCACTGGGGGCTGTGGAGAGGCCCACATGAGCGAGCCGGGGACACACGGCAGATACGCACACTTGTGGAGACCGAAAGAGACCCCGGGCGACACCCGTCACGCGGACTCTGTCCAGGTTCCTTGGAGGCCATTGAGCCTCTGCTGGTTACAAGAGCCGTCTTGGTTGGAGCTGTGAGCCGGCGGCGCCTGGTGCACCCAGAGGGGACGCGGAGGGCTGGCCGGGGCCGGTGTGGGGCTGCCGGAGCCTGGCCGCTGTCCTCTTGCCTAACTCTGTCTCATAAGCTCGAGGAGGTGGAGGATCCTGGCGAGCCTGCCAGGCCTCGTCGCGTGGCCTGTGATTAGGAGAGCCCGGGAGGGACCGTCTGAAAGGGGGACACTTAGGGGGACCGTCGGGGCTTGAGCCCCCCTCTTGTGGCTCTTCCCTTCCACCTTCAGAGGACGTGGCTTCACGGAAAGGTGGGCCTCCCTCGCGGGGACGGCGCAGCTGCTGGAGTTCAAGCTTCTCCTCCACGGGCTGGTTCCAGAGAGCTCTCTGAGACAAACATGGCTTCCCGGAAGCCTCAGAAGACTTATTCACACAACCCTTTCTCAAAGATCGGGTTCTTAGCGCCGGATCTTTGAGATGGAACCAGGATCCATAAACAGTGAGTGAAATTGTCATTCGAGACAACCAAGAAAACTAAAACCCATCTGCCAGGGCGCCTGGGTGGCTCAGTGGGTGAAGCCTCTGCCTTCTGCTCGGGTCATGATCCCGGGGTCCTGGGATCGAGCCCCACATTGGGCTCTCTGTTCCATGGGGAGCCTGCTTCCCCATCTCTCTCTGCCTGCCTCTCTGCCTACTTGTGATCTGTCAAATAAATAAAATCTTTAAAAAAACCCCAAACACCCCTCTGCTCCAGCAGGGCCCGCTGACGTTCCCTTTCCATGAAATTCCGATGAACCCAGTTATCTGGTTTCCTAGGTGCCGACACAAGCAAACCAGCAAGATGAGCAGACCTCGTTGGCCTTTAATAAACAGTGATAACCTAAGAAACTATGAAAAAGCAATCCAGGACCATCCATCATGGAGACAGAGGAGTGAAGAAAGTGGTTCTAGACCAGCTCTCTGGCCTGCTTGGCTTCAAGACCCTGCGCTGGCTTAAGAAGCAACCTTTGGCCCATACCTCAGTCACTTCCTGCTTCAACTTCCTTCTCCTTAGAATGGCTTGCTCCGAAGATCAAGCAAATGGGACGGCAACCCTGGAAGTACCGACTGGGCGTGCAGCTGTAATGGTGACCATCCTAAGGCATGGGTTGGCTTCGTCTCTGCCCTGAGAAGGCAGGCAGGTCTAACAGACATCTTATGCAGAATTTTGTTCGGATCACTAACATGTCAACAGTTGTTAGGGAGAGAGAAGATTAACCATTTTTTTTCCCCCTGAAACTTTTCTCTATTTCCCACAATGATCAGATTTTAGTTTCCACCCTCTTTCTTTTCTTGTCATCCTAGATGCGTGTCATGTGACAGCCCGATACGCACAAACTGAGACTGTGGGAACTGGCCCTGGCTGTTGTCTCCTACAGAACAGTGTTTTTGGCTGTGACTAGAAGTGCACCCTCTGGCTGGGGTAGCCATCGAAGACTCAGTGAAGCTCTTGCGGTGTCCGCTCGCAGCCGTTACACACTCGCTGTTCAGCTACCGCGGAAGGAAGTGCTTAGTCATTCACGGACGCCAGGCCTCAGGGGCTTCGGACATGGGAATCCACATGGCCTGTGGAGTAGCTGGCCGGGCCCAGACTGGGCCTTCTCTGTCTGCAATGGGCAGACAAGGGCCTTCTCTGGCGGCTCTGTCCTCTCACCTCTCCCCATCTCGCCAGCGTGCGGTTCTGGCAAAGGGTAGCAACACATTTAGAAGTTCCATTTCTCTAAATTAAATAAAACACAATTAAAATTTAGTAGGTGCTAAAACTTGGTTTTGAACTTTTATTAAAAAAATATATTTGCAAACATATAAAATTTAGGATGAAAAATGCTCATCTGAGAACATGTAATAACTTAATATTTGCAAACATACACAGATGGTATAAAATCCATACCATTAAAAATGTTAATGATGCAGTATTGCGCTCATGGAACAAAAACCTTGCTGTAATTCCAGAGCTTCTCAGCCCCACACTTCAGGGAGCTGAGAAATCCCGTACACTGAAAGTCATGAGAGCTGCATGGCCAAAGCAGTAATACAGAATTTAAAAAAACCACTGAGGACACAGATTTTAAAAACACGTTTCTTAAGGAACCACACAGATAAAAGGGAAACACAACTGTGCATCTTCCCATTCAAAGTGAACGATATTGCATCTTAGCATTTCAAATGAAGATGCCGGATAGAAAACCGAGTGAAACATTGCACACCTCTCTCCTGCTGATTTTGCTGGAAAACAGGCTCCTTGAGGCCCCGGCCCTCAGGGAAATGTTCTTAAACATAGATTTGAAAAAGCCTAGTGTAAGTTGCTTTACTTGACTTAGATCTTAACATTTTATACACCTGAAAATGCAGGGCACTATTGGTTCCAGAAGGTACTCTGAATACAACCGAAGAAAACCAAAGATAGATAAGAACGAAACTCGTGCTTAGCAGCAAATATGCAGCAAAAGGCAGGACCCACATCCCTGTGGTTCCTTGTCTTCACTCCTGTGGACTGGGCCCACTTGTGCCTGTGCTTCCTCTCGCTCCTCTGTTTCTATGTTTTGCCCAGTTACCGTGTGATGGCTGATTTTGTTTTTTTAAGCGGTTAGGCACCTTCAATTTCATGTTGCATTATCAGTAATACGATGGCAGTTATGGCCTCTACTACCCAAATGAGAAAACTTCAAACTACATTCTTGGGGGGAGCAGGGATAGTAATAAAGCTGCATGGTTTCAACATAGTACCTAGTACAAGATTCGATAGGGTTTTTAATTTTTATAAAGAAACCTAGGCAGAAAAAGGACAGATGCTTGACATGCAAAATTGGGCCAGACACATTCTAGACGAGGCCTGTGTGGCCTTCAGCAGAGAAGGATTCGTCACTTCGGACTCTTCGCAAAACCCCGCTCTGTGATGGCCAACCCCCCCCCCCCCCCCCGAAGGTCTGCAAGGTGAGATGAGGACACTCCATGCACACAGTATGGAATGCATCTTCTAACACCGACAGGCTCGCTTGAAAACTTAAGGATTCAAAGTCCCACCTTACAAATCTCTGGAAGGACGCCCGCTGCGGAGGGGCTGCTGCAGCGCAGGAACGTGGCTGTATGGGAGGGGCGGGGGTCTATCCAAAGGTGATGTTAACTATAGCAAAAGAGCAGTGCCACCCACTGGGGTTGGGGTGGATGCACGGACAGATGCAGTGGCCTAACTGCAAAACCTAGCCAGAAGCATCTGTGTTTTGGTGTCCACTTTGATTCAACTAAGGTTTGAGACAAAGGTTCCAGTCAAGTCACGGCCCCTATGGACACATGCAACCTAAGCTAGCGTGAGGTTCTGGATAGGAAATCTGACTGAGGAATAAGGCAACTGATCTGTGACTTTTGGGCCAGGGTCATCCAACTGCAACAAGTCAGGCTTGGCCTGACCTTTCAAGGACTCATTCTGGCCCGAACCTCCTGGTAATCATGACGGTGAACTTCTGGCTTCTGAATTTAAGTAAATCCTTTGAATACATAAATTTGAGAGTTGAAACAGATTGACCCTTTTCAAGTCTCCATGACTTGGGCACTTTGAAGTTTATTTTCCCACTACGGAAAACTTATCATAGATTCTATTTTCCTGTCTGTCCTATTCATTCCTTGGATGAAAGGGTGAAAATTAACAGATTTGATTACCGACCCTCCTTAGGATATTCTCTCTTTTAACTCTTTCATAATATTACACATACTCAAATCATTTCAAGTCAAATGTCTATTACAACAAGAATCCCTTGATTCTTCCATGTACCGAAGCTCACCGGAACCACGCTGGGGGTGTGATCAAACCTGTTTCCTGAGAACAGTCACAGTCACGTGGCTCCCCCGACACCATCTCCTGGCGTAAGCAACACTCTGGATCTTGCTCCGACATTGTCCTTCCTGGGTGATGTACGATCAATTCATTTTTGGTTGCTGGGTTTACACACTACCTTTGAAAACAAGCTCTTCCCCCATTGAGTATGAGAACTTCTAAGCTTCCCTGACTTCTGCACAATTCACAAGTAACTATGTAGACAGCAAGAAAAGACACTAAACTGACAAGCAGAAGACTGCCCAGGAAGCATTTAGATTAACGAAAGCCAATCAAAGTATTCTTTAAGCTAAAAAAAACTAAGACCAAACTAAAACAAGCATGTAATTCACAAGTAATTTTCTAAAATCTGAGCAAGGAAAAAAAAAAGAAAAATCTATGGATTTATGATTGAGTTACCATTAAAGCTTAAAATGATTGTTCCCGAGGAACCACCACATCCACCAGCATTATTCACAGCTAATCCTTATGCTACCTGGTTGAGCCAACTGGGTTTTGACCCCATCATTAAATAGTGCTCAGAAAAGTAAGCAGTGCATCTTAATTGGTTAAATACTACAAAATGATCTGTATCATAGAAACGAAGACACTTTCATTCAAAGAGTATCTTAAAATTACTATTGCTGAAATAAATCAAATTCTACATTAAAATATTACTAATCACCATTACATGCTATAAAAGAATAAATATAAATCATGGCAGGTCAATAGCAGCATAACAAAGCATCTTTACATATTTTCACACTTTGGGCTGCAAAAGTACTCACAGCCTAGGAATACATTGGTAAAGTTCTGAATTTCACACTTTGTTTTTAACTCCATTTTCTATAATAAAGTAAGGGCAGTGTGAATAACAGCTCCCTTTTCTGCATAGCTTTAAAACTACTCTCAGTAGACTCGAGGAATGGAACCAGAATGGCTTTGTTAGATTGGTCCACTGGTCCTTTTGTCAAAGTGTTAAGGAAAACAATCAACAAGGACTTCTGTGTTTAGACAGAAAAGGAAAATAAGGCTACACTTCACACAAAACTTAACGTTTTCAAAACCACTCAAGAGGTTAACATAAAGTGAAGGTTTCTGATCGAATTCAGTCTTTACCAGCCGCAGCCTTTGCTTCAAAGGTGTGACATGCTACTCCCATACCATCACAGAGCCTGGCGGGGCCCTAGTCACATGGTATCGCTGCCCAGGGAGCCTGCTGCATGGCAGCACTGGGGACACTTAAGAACAAAACACAACTGAGAAGTTTCAGAACTTTTAAGGCCCAAATGGGGCATTCATAAAAATATACTTCATTTGAACAAATCAGTCCTAATTTGCCAACTTAAACTCTGATCCTTAAAACTCAAAGCTACTTTGCACAGAGCTGACTTCTGCTCTGATCAGAACTTGACATCAGCCTAAGGCTCAAACTCAAACTTCTGGGAGGGAGGAGCAGGGGAAGGGGCACGGGCTGGGCTGAACTCTGCTGCAAGGCTGGTGACCCCTCCTCCCTAAGACCTTGAGAGTGAAAGCAAGCTGAAAACCAGACTCCTCATTTCACATCCTTTCTTAGAGCTGATGAAAACACCCACACAACTTAACACAATGTTTTTTTTTCTTTTCTTTCTTTTTTTTTTTTTTTTGTCAAAACAAAGGTCTGCTGGTGATGCTTCACAGTGAAACCTCCATTATCACTGAGAACGTCACTTGGAAAACATTCTTAAGGAATGAGTCTCTTTCTCATAGGCTCAATTTCAGGATTCTCAAAACTCAATGTTCTGTTTAGAAGTTTCCATGATGAGGCCTATTTGTTTGAGGTCGACATTCTGCCTTCGGATTTATTCTGCTCCAGTCATAAGTTGTGGTTGTCTTTGTTCTTGGTCAGAACCTGCAAGTAGACTTCGTGAAGTGTACTGAGGAAGCTGGAATCATTCTGGAAGAGATGGTAATGATTCGTTTACCTCAGCAGAACTTACTTCCTTGACAAAAGCTTAGGAAAAAAGCTGTATAAATGATGTATAACTAATTACCCAAAGAATCCCACAACCCAGAGGCAACTGTAATCAATATTTTGGAATTCACTCAGACACTCTTCCATTGGGAGTGTATGCTCAGAAAGAGAGAAACATTAGTTCTGGCTGGTCTCGAATTTACGTTATGAACTGATTTTCTAAGAAGAACTCATACGTTCTTTAATATTGAAGATAAAAGTTTACAGATTCAACTGCTGGGGTGGCCTGCATACCTTTATTAGATGTATTAATGTATCCTGGAGCTGAGACTTGCTGAGAATAATGGAAGGCTTTCTCTGATTTTCTGATGTTCCAACAGTCAGCGGAGAAGGGGCACTTGCTTTCCTCTCGAGGTCTGCAGATCTTGTAACTGTCTGCTGGAAAACACTTGGGGACAACAGGACCGAAGACACTGCCATGGTTGTTGCAGTAACCAGTGTGGGGCCTGTGACCTGCAGGGGAACAATGGTCATGAATGAGGCTTGTTAGCTAAAGGATGAAGGGTCCATTTATTGGGAAGCCAAGTTTGATCATCACAGAAAGGAAGTATGATCCCAGCGGGGTATGCACAATAATAACAAACCTATGATAAATTAAGAATGTAAAGTTTTATATGGGGAGCAGGGAAATGACTGGAGGAGGGCATGAGGGAACCTTCTAGAGTGATGGAAATGTTACATATCTTGACTGGTACCCAAGGTATGTTATGTATGCTAAAACTTGTAAAACACCTACATTTTATTATGGGTACTATACATCAACATTTTTTTTTTTTTTGCTAAAAAAAAAAAAAAAAAAAAAAAAAAAAAAAGGGAAAGATATATTAAATGGACTTATTTTTTT